TTTTGTATTTTTGGTAGAGACGGGGTTTCACCATACTGCCCAGGCTGGGACATTGCATATTAAGCTTGGAAACTTATAGGATAGCAGAGCTGTTCTTGGGGACTCAGTTTGCACAGAGGACTGGGTTCTAAGATTGCAGAGGAAGCTTCGGAGTAGAATTAAGGGCTCTTGCTAGTTCTCCCAGTGGTCCAGGTTTGGAAACAACCTGCAGGGTGTGGTCCCTCAAAACAGCTCTGCAGGAGAGGAGCTTACCCTGAGGCAAGTACTGTGTGTGGGGACACAGGCCAGCACCCAGAATGGGGTCGCTTAATCCAGACTTTTCTCAGAAACACACTGGGGTGCTGTGTCTGCTGTGTCTGACACTGGAGTGGGCAGCAGGAGCTGTGTGAACTGTCTGTCTCCTGGGAAGGCCTGAGAGGGAGACTCTGAGCTGCAGGGACACCACGCCAGCTCCCGCTACCCAAAGGGGTGTCGTGACTCAGCCTTTGCCACACGGCATACCACTCTCCCCAGGGCCAGCCCTCTTGTTCACGGCTTGATCAAAATGTGGGTATGTCCTGAAATTGAAATACCATGCACTTTCTGGCAGAAATGTCTTCAGCAAAGAGTGAAAGGTTGGTACTCCAAGTTTCCATTTTTATTGCATCCAGAGACAGAGGCTAAAATCTCATAAAGGTGAAAAAAAAATATGACATTTCAAACTCTGCCCAGAAAGAACACAAATGGCAGCAAGACGTAAAGACATGTAGAGCTAAAGATGTGGGGGAAGGAGGAAAGGGAAATGAAACAAGAGCCACAACAAGGAAAATGTCATGCTCCTGGAAATGAAATTTCAAGATGCTGGGACTCCCCCTCAGAACCCCAGGGACTGACTCAGCACATGTTGATCAAATACTAGAGACTATTCGTTTAGGATTAGAGAGGCATAAGCTTTCCCTACAGCCATCCTCACCTGCTTGACACACTTGAATGTTTTCATTATTTTGTCCACAGCTCTTGGGGTCCCCAGCCTCTCTCCTGAGCAGGACTGGATTTTTTTTTTAGAAGAAATCTGGTGCCCAAGATTGTTTCCCACCTTAAGGATAAAACCTGTTAAGAAAGGTAAGTTTACAGTAGATGGGGGCAGTTGATACAGATTTTATAGAATGTGTCACAGAATGTGTTTGGAATATTTTTCAAACATCGGACTTTACCCAGAATATTCCTGTTGCAACATTTACTGCCTGTTATTACTGCTGTTTCACTTTATTGTCCTTCAATATACAGCCCCAAGGTGAGTGATTTTTAGATCATCCTCATTTAGGACAAATTATTCAAGGCTTAAGGACTATTTTACAAGCTTCACCTGAAAACTGAGTCAGAGGGATACTTTTGTCCTTGAAACAGTTTTTTTCCAAGGGTTCTCATGATACACTGGTATCTGTCTGTCCAACTAAATTTATAATTTCTGTAGAGAATAGAGAAAAAATTTCTGTTCCTAGTAGATGGATCCAGATAGTAAACATTAGCAATAAGACAAGATGCTTAGCCTGAATTTTCCCAGGAAAACCTTTGTCCTTACCAATCAAAAAAAAAAAAAAAAAAAAAAGGACATGAGACTTCCTGGGCTAGGAAAGTCCTTCCTTAACTGGCTTTTATCCAGTTAACAAATAACAAACAACCAAATAATGCATACACCCCTCTAACATTTTAGGATTTTGATCTCACTGAAAGATCGGTTCTCTGAACTTGCTAGGGCTCTACCAGTTGTATAGGAACACCACATAACTTATTGCAATATGAAGATAAAAGTAAGTATTTTTCTTCTGTTTTGCCTGTTGGGCAAATGGCCTGAAAAATCACAAAAAAAGAAGAAACGGAGACTTGCCAACTGGTCTTGGGAGTGTTGACAAGGTCAATGTGTTCTGCTTGTGTAGGCATTCCCTTTTTTTTCTTCTTCTTCTTGAGGCAGAGTGTTGCTCTTGTCACCCAGCCTGGAGTGCAGTGCTACAATCTCAGTTCACTGCAGCCCTTAGTAGCCGGGACGACAGACAGGCACCACCACACCTGGCTAAATTTTCTATTTTCTGTAGAGACAGAGTTTCACTATGTTTGCCAGGGCTGGTCTTTAACTCCTAAGCTCGAGTGATCTGCCTACCTCAGCTTCCCAAGGTGTTGGGATTACAGGTGTGAGCCACTGCGCCCAGCTGGCTTTCCTTTTTAATGAAACACTACATCACAGGAACTCATCAGACTAGAGGATGACAATGTACAAAAGAGAGGCGAGAAACTGTAGCAATGAAAAGAAACAATGGATGAAGAGGAGGAGCGGCAATACAGTCCAAGCCCTTGCCACGCCAGACTGCCTGCTTCCACCACAGTCCACTGCTTGCAACTTGATTTCACATTTGGAGGCTTGAGTGCCCCCAAATAGTCTTCCTCATTCTCTTTTCTTTTTTGTGTGCTTGTCTCTCAAAAGCAATGACAAAGTAATACAGTAAATGTTTGTTACCTGAGGGATAGGGTGAACTAGGTGGTTCTTCCTTAGCTTTTCTAAGTCTCCAAAGGACTAACAAGACCTGAGTGAGGAAAGCGAGAAGACACTGCTATTCCCCAACAATCTCTAGAAGGACTGGTGATGCATCTCATTTTTCTTTGAGCTCCCCACACGTTAGGCTTCTCTCTGAGAGGTCTTTTCAGCATCTCCTGCCCCACCCAGAGAGTAAGCAACCCAGTGGAAATCCCCTGAACAAACCAGCACATGCTGTACCAAAATATTGTGTCTTACCTTTGTTCTTTTACATCTTCACAACTAAAGGAAAGAGATACAATCAAAATGATAGTCCACTTAAATGATAAACAAGAGAACTTAAAGAGACATGACCCAGTTACTCACCCATGAAGTGACAATCTGTTAGCAGTTTAGGAGAACCGTGTGGGTAGATAGATATAATTTGGAATTTCTCCTTGAATACTTGCTTAATTCATGGGAATTTATAATTATAGCTTTCTTGAAAGGGTATTTAGCTCATTGCACAAAACATACCAATTTTTGTGAATCAGGCTTACAATTTTCTAACCAAGCTTTCAAAATAAGATTATAAATGAGGACATAAATTATTATCTGATGCACAAAATTGTCACACTGTATTTGGTTTGGAAGGTGTTTTGAAATGCCCAGAGAAGGCCCTGACGAATGGAGAAGATGGAATATGTCCCCTTCAGTTGGATTCTTGCTCTGAAGCATTCCTTGAGCCTATAGTCCAAAGTGTGGCATTATAACTGGTGCAGACCAAGTCTGTCTTAAAACTGAAAAGGAGGATCCAGAGACTGGTAGGTATGTGTCACCTCCTTTTTTTCTTCATTATTGTCAAGTCATTATAATGATGGGACAAGCTTACTCATCACGCATCTCTTGAAGTCCCTCCGATTTGCATTACACCTTGGGGGATGTTGTTCATCTCTGCTAATTTCAGCCACTTCCCAGGTACACAGGAGCAATTCTACCCAATGACAATGAATCCAACAGAAGTTCATAACTCACTGATCACTCAGTTTCTCTGCACTCCTCACCTTATAATTGCAGTCTTGCAGCATCTTTCCAGAAAAGAGCCACTGCGAATCAAGAGTGGAGTTTTATGGCCTGAATCCAGGTTAGATTATTTATTTCAAGAAAAAGAAAAAAAATCTAGCAGTTAGCAAGAAGCAGTCAGGCTTCACAAATACTGCCACTTTAACCATCAGGCCATATTGGGAAGGATTCTGACTGTCATACAGGTTCAGGGGCATCTGAATTGTCTGTCCCGTGGTCTCAGACTTCTGCCTTGTATACCTAGGTACTAATGTAGTTCATATGTACTACATATACCTGAAAAGTTGTGTGGCAATCACATTTTCACAAATAGAATCCTGTTTTAAATACACCAAGAAAGTTCCTTCTTTATCCTTTGAACAAGAGGTCAGCAGACTTCTACAAAGGGTCAGATAGTAAAGATTTTACACCATTTGTACCATACAATTTCTATCTCATCTACTCAACTCTGCCATTGTAGCATAAAAGCAGTTGTACATGATACACAAATGGGTGAGGCTGTATTCCAATGAAATATTATTTGCAATAACAAGTAGTGGACCAAATTTGGTCCCAAGGCTTATTTGGACTTTTTGAAAAAGAACAAATAAATGAGTAAATTTTTAAAAATTGGTCCCTAGGTCATAGTTTGCCATCCCCTGCATTAAACAAATCTTCAATGCCTACTTTGATGGGTCGGATCTGAGTAAATGCTAGGAATACACAGAGAATAAAAGAGAAAAACTGCTATTCTTGTGAAACTTGGAAGTTGGAGGTAAGCTATTTAAAATAAACCTACAATAAAGCACTTCACATAATGCAGACTGTTTCTTTAAAGCAAAACTCACTCCAAACAACCAGTTGATTCACTTTGCAAGTTTGAATTTTTGTCTTCAGAGTCTTTTGAAGTGGGCCCTTTGCCGGGACAGTGGCTCATACCTGTAATTTCAGCACTTTGGGAGGTCGAGGCAGGCAGATCACTTGAGGTCAGGAGTTCAACACCAGCCTGGCCAACATGGCGAAACTCTGTCTCCAAAAATTAGCCTGGGCATGGTGGCATGCACCTGTAGCCCAAGCTACTCAAGAGGCTGAGGCAGGAGAATCGCTTGAACCTGGGAGGCGAAGGTTTCAGTGAGCCGAGATCACGCCACTGCACTGCAGCCTGGGTGACTGACAGAGCAAGACTCTGTCCTGAAAAAATAAAAATTTTTTTAAAAATTAAATAAATAAATAAATAAAGTGAGCCCTAGCCTAATATAGCTTGAGCCTAGGTGTGAATCCACTGCCTTCCTCTGAAATAAGCACAGTAAGTGTGGGGCTGCAGGGAATGTCCAGGAGATACAGTAATTTCAAAGGCTCTGTCTCTTCATGTCATTTACCTCTGCTTATAGCAGCAATACTTTTACTCAGACTTCCTGTTTCTGGAACCTGCCTTCTTTATTGCTGTGTTTATACTTCCTTCTGTCTATGATTAGATAAGCATAAAGCCCTAGATCTAAGCTTCGCTGTCTTCTCCCTCCCTCCCTTTCTCTTCCTCTCATTCATTTCATACACACTGGCTCACACGTCTTCTCTCTCTCTCTCTCTCTCTCTCTCTCTCAAAATGACAATTCTAGGTACAACTTTTGCTGTGTTTTTTTCTTTACTTCAAGTCGTTTCTGGAGAAAGTGGCTATGCACAGAATGGTGAGTCATTTCTAACTTTTCTTAAGGATTTTTGATTATCTGTAGCATAGTTTCAGGTTATTCTGTTCCCTAACAGACCTGAGTTGGGCACTGGGTTGGAATGGAGTTTGAGAATTTACCACATATTCAGTCAATTTTTTAAATGCTCTAACCACCATGACAGGGGGCATGGGTCAATACTATGGGTAGTTTATAAGACCTCACAATTCTCGAGAAGGAATGCATTTCACTCCCAAGTGTAAATCTTAAGTGCTGAATGATTCCTCTGCTCTTACAAAAAGAACACTCATGTAGGTGCTATGACTGTGCTTGTTGGAAAATGTCCAAGGTAATTTTACCTTGTCAGGAGATCAAGCTGGATTCATTTTGTTTGACTTTTTAAAAATCCTGAAAGCATAACTTTCAGGATGAGGTAACGTCCAGAAGCAACAGCTTTGTCTCCATTGACCAGTGCTATATCCTCAATACCTAAATCAGTGGCTTTGAAAATGTTTTCAAAATACTTCAATTTTGAGAGATTTATGTGAGATTTTTAGTAAATGACAGACTAGAGAAAGATCTAAATGAGTTTACTAATTGAAATACACTGAATTGTCTTCACACCAACAAAATGACCATATGTAATAATTCTCTTTGGAGTCTAAAAAACTTAGAACCCAATTCTGCCCATACATAAACACATTGTAATTATAACAAAACTAAGCAGAAGCTTCTAACAGCAGAAGGAGGCATGTAGGAATTTAGATCATCAACTTGCTCCTGCAAATTAAGCCCTTTCACTTTAAGAGTTAAAAAGTATTTGTCTATAGACAATATCAAACACATCAGCCTAATGACTCAGCGTAGATATTTTGAGTCATATAATTACAAAGGATGGAAATCCCTAGAATTTTTTCATTAAAGGAATTGTCAGAAAGTTGGACGTTTTTTACAATGTATGACTCACTTTATGGGGGATGATTTTATTATGTGCTAAAGGTTGCCTTGGATTTGCGCAAAGACTGATGTGTGGCAGGAAACATAAATCTTACTTTCTTTGATATCATCTATACTCACTATTTCTCCCTGGCGATCATACTATTTTTAAAATATATAAGAATTCTAGTTGAAAACTGGGTTTTCACTTCAACTTTTTAAATTTCAGATTTTTTTAGAAGATCTGTAATTACCTGATTCACATGACTACATAAAATACTTCCCAGTTTGGGGTATAAGGAATTCACATTCAGTTGCTGCTTGTTGAAAGTTGTTAGTTTTCTGAACATCACAAGGATGATCAAGAGAAGAAAGGGATACTTTTTTAGAAATCCAAATTATTTACACTATTAATTAACCAACTCCAGTCAGTAGGAAGAAAATTTCTAAATATCACTGACTTGCCTATAATACATATTCCACGAAATTTAAATTTTGTATAGATAAATATGTCTAGATACCTATTTAAATATAAATAATATTAATTATTGAGCATTTAAAGAATAATAGATTAACTCATTATTCAAAAGCTCTATGTAATTTCAAAACAATCGTGATAACACCTTCAATTGACATAAACGTTTAAAAGAGAAGCTCAAGTGTTTCATGTACATTTTCAGAATTAGAATATTTATTTTACTTTTTCATTACTTATTTCTTAGAAAATATTATACTCATAGCTAACCCTTATTAAATGCTGTGTTTTAAGCTACATCTTTGTATATATCCATTCAGTGATTGCTCATAACATGAGTTTACATATTAGAACATATGTCTTAGAGAAATTGCCTACCTGACAGAGAACCACAGCTACAAGGTAGAACATCCAGAATTTAAACGGACAGCTGTCCAACTCTGACACCATAGGTCTTCATCACTGTGTACATTAACTACTCTTAGCCAAGAATTTTTCAGCTCATGTCAAGTAGAATATTCTCTTTGTAAAATGCCATAATATTTTGTAAGACGTTGAAGGGAATTTTTCGTGGTTACAAAGCAACTCTGCCCAGTAATACCTACTGAAGAGCCAGTGAGCTGCTTCCTAAAACACAGCCATTGTAAGTGCAAGTAACTGTATAAATGCCTCATTGTATATTGTATGCTTTGCCAAACTGGATGACAGGGGGAGTTCTTTGTTATGTGGTCACCGGCATCTGCTAGAGTGTGCTGTCTCTATTGAAGAATCATAAAGACAAAGCTGGCCCAACAGGATGTCTGAATCCAAATAGTAATGTATGTTCTGTGCATAAGATTGGTGGACAAGAAAATGTCAGAACAATGTGAGGACTGCCATGTGAGGTCAGAGCCACTGCATTTAGAAAGCTGCCAGTACACAGGGGAGAGACCGAAGCCTACAAAATTAAGAATGAACATGTTGTGAAGTGTGAGCCCTATGTGGTGGGCTGCCTCTCATTATTTCACACTGTCATCAGAAGGAGAGCCCTACCCTGCTGAATTACATAAGGAACTTCTGCTGGTGGCAGAACTGTGAGCTGTATAGATTCTGGGAATGGCCATAAAGACAAATGCCTGTGGCTGTGAACAATGCCCACACCTATGGTCTAGCTAGGGCTGTTTGAGATTTGTTGCATTGACTGAACCAACCTGTCATTCAACTGGTTGGTCCATTTACAATCAGCTTTACTAAATTTCCCATTTTCCCTACTGGGTTATTTAAGTAAAGAAAGTGCTATTCGGACAGCCCTTGGTCTCTGGGACACTTGACTGGGATTCGATTTTAGTATATCTGTCTCCAGTGTAAAGCCTAAAGCCTTGGAAGCATCTAATCTCTAGAACCGATGAACCAAAATAACCTGGAAGCAGTCCTAGACTCACACCAGAGCACTCTGAGAATGGCTTTGCTTACTCTGGATTTTCTCAGGTCCCAGTGGGAGTACATTTTCTGACCTATTTATTTAGCCTCACTTTCCTATCATGTAAAACATACATACAAAATGTAGATTTCATTATAGGGTCTACAACTCAGCTCAAGAAACCAAATACTATGTGTGACAGATTACACTTTCCAAAAGTAATAGCAAAAAAAAAAAGAAAAAAAAAATCTGGTTCCCCACTTTCTTTGTGTCTATAGAAGAATCTATAAGAACAGAAGCAGAATGTACAACATTCATAGGAAGGTTCCCCAAATCTGAGTCCTGCCAGATCTAATTTTTTTTCCTAAGCATGTTTGTCTCAGTCAGTAGCTTAAGACAGTGGAGGTAATCAGTGCATTTAAACAGCCACAAAATGGAGATAATCAGTGCCACTTTTAGGTGGGATGCCTTTTTACACAAGGGAAAGTGAACTCTTAAAAAAGTGAAATTCTAACTGGAAGACAGCTATCATCATCCTTCATTTAAGAAAACAAAAAAAGATACTAGGAGTAAATAAATTATGATTTGTAATAAAGTCAAAAGTGAGATTAGGTAGCATGAGAATAACAGAAATAAAGTATTTCTTCTTAGAAATATACGGACAATCAATGTAACAAATGTAGCAGAAGAAATTTCAGTTTAAATACAGAAAAGAATGTGTTCAGTACCTCTGGTTCTTTAACTCAAAAATATTTGGAGGTCACTTGCTCATTATGATGGGCTTCTTTTTCTATTGGAAAACTCTGTTAGCATTGAGCATTTCTGGTTTTTGTTTTTTGATGGTTCGTTGGTTTTGAAATATTTTTCTTGTCTTTGCCCTTGGGCTTTCCTTCTTTAGATAAGACATGTCTGCCAATTTATTAAGGTCATGCCATATTTCAAAAGGATACATTCATTTGTTTCATTAACAGCAGCATATTTATTCCTCCCCAGGAGACTTGGAAGATGCAGAACTGGACGACTACTCATTCTCATGCTATAGCCAGTTGGAAGTGAATGGATCCCAGCACTCGCTGACCTGTGCTTTTGAGGACCCAGATGTCAACACCACCAATCTGGAATTTGAAATATGGTGAGGAATGGTGGTTTTAATGATTGCTTAGACATCCTCTGTCTCTCTTTTCATGTGCTTCTTTTAATACCTGCAAAAGAAATAACATGAGGCCTAATTAACAAATGTTAACATCTAAAGAATTCCCAAAAGCCTGCTGAAACTACTTGTCCTTCACCAAAAACACTTATGCAAAGCTCCCCTCGCAGTTCAACTTTCATATCTGGAGGCTCAGTCAAATGATGCCCTGGATCTTGGGGTATCCCACATTCCTCCCAACTTCATAGCAGAATTTAAATCCTGCATCTCCTACAACACTCCTCACCAAAAATCTATTTGCTCAACTTCAGACAATCCAGTATCTTCAAGTTGCATGACAGTTAAACCACCTTGTTTCCAATCCCAATACCAGTGCTTACTAGCTTTTTGACCTCGAGAAAGTTATGTAATGTTATCTATGTGTCAGTTTCCTCACCTGTAAAATGAGATAACCTGCCTCACAGGAAGTTTGTGATGGTTAGTTTCATCATGTAAATCACTCCAAATAGCCAGTGAATAACGAGTAATGGGGAAGCAACATTAAATTATAATTCTGTGAATACTGACATAACTTCTACCCTCTTGACACAATTTGACTTCAGATGATCCTCTCAATGTAAATTTTTTCAGAAATTCATAGGAATAAGTTGGCACTGTGTTTCACAAGGTCTCAGAGAAAAGGCAAAGAAGAAGAGTCTTTGGTTTGAAAGTTTACTTAAGGTCTCAGGGAACTTTATCTTCTCCTTCCTCCACAAGTCATCTCTTGTTGCCAAGGGTTACTATCTCTTGAGATCTGAGAAACTACTCTAACTTAAAATTCTGACATGTGGCTATCTCCAAATTTATATCAGAATGACCTAATTTTTAGTTAGTTTCCTAGTGAGCAAAGTAAGTCAAGATCCACCAACAGTAATAGAAGGCTTCTTATGTTCCATAGACACTGAGACAATTCTCCACAATATATAGTCCAAACAAGCCCTGAACTCCAACGTATGTTAATTTATGGGAGTTTCCTGCATCTATCATGCAGTGCTTCCTGCTGCAGTCCTTAGATAAACATGCTCTTGGACTTGATTATTGTACTGTGCGTTCCATCAGCCACTGTTCACTTCCCTAACATATTTTCCAGGAATAAAATATGTCAAAAGAACCGGACCCAGTTCAATGTCCAGAATCTAGGCTGGAAATGAATTGCACCAAAACAGCCAAACAACTCATTCAAACATTACACTTATTTTTATGGGCAAAACACCCTCCCACACAGAGGTTTCGCTTTGGCTTCTTTAACCAGCTGGCTGGTGGGCTGAGTGTTCGTCCTGATTTCTCTTGGCCAAGCTGAGGCTAATCTTTTTGTTCACTTTCATTCACACTGTATTTGACCACTTCCTTGACCACTCAAACACACTTGCCCTTTAACATATCTCTTGATTTTTTCTGTCATATTGGTATCTGTCCAGAGCCTCCTCTATTTGGGTTTTCCAATTGGATTCAGATATTTCCATTGGAAAGGTACTGCCTTAAGAAAAGTTTTCAGTGGAAAACATTAGTATGAGCTCTTTAGTAGATTAACTCCTGGAGTTCAGAGCCCTTAAAAGGATACCCAGTTTCACAAGACAGCCGTACGGTCATCCTTGATTGTCCGTTGTTCATTAATTTCATTCTCAAAAACATGGGAATGAGCTGAAAGTACCATTTTAGATACCTCTTAAATTCCCAACAGTACCAGAAACTTGCTACTGGTTGGGGACTGTAATTGGATATTTAACACATACTTTCCTTACAGATATATCTGTACTCAAGGGTTGAACTAAAAGCTATTGCCCCAGTTTCTCCACATCCCATATTTACCTAAAATTCAGAAATGGGACCCCACTCCCAGTCTCCCCTTCTATATTTATTTATCAAATTATGACAACATTGTCATCTTCAGATCTTTCCACCTGACGTTTGCCCTAAGCTTATTCCCTGGTATCTGTCTAGCTTACCCACAAAATCTGTTTTTATTTTTATCCTGTTCCAAGTGGGAAAGTCCATCTACCCCAACAAGAAACACAAGTTTCTAGTAACTTTGAGACACATATACACACATTCTCTTTAAAGCCTAAACAACTGTATAACCAGTTAACATAAAGTTATGATTTGGGAAAGCAGTTTTAAAGAATGTCCCAAAAATAATCACTATATTTAGCCAGTTGATTCGCTTAACATTTCTTCACCAATCTCTGGTTTTCATGACTGTAGGAGCTTAACCAGTCACTCACACACCACAATAAACCAAAGGTGAAAGATTCTGTACCTAAAGCTGGGGTGCACTCCTCCACATTTAACCTCCTGGCCAGCTCACCTAAAGCCAGACAAAACATGTTCCTCTTTCTGTGCAGAGTCCAGGAACCATTCTAGAAAGGACTCACTTGGGCACATGCAGAGAAGAGTGTACACACATCCAATTCACCAAAGAAAACCAACACACATTCTGGGTCGCAGGTCGTTCAAAAGGCCTTCCTTGAACACACTCCTTAGGATTTAAACAAAATTACGTCTGGTCAATGGAAAGAATTCTTTCATGTAAGCAAACTTACCCAGAGGCACTTTTTTCCTGCCCAGATCTTCATTTTCAATTTGACCCGCTTATACCTCCTTAGAGCTATTTGGCTGAGCTTAAAAAGCACATAGGAAAAACAAATTGATAACTGTGGTTATCACAGAAGAGGAATATTAAATTTAGGATTAGGGAAGGAAAATAACCCTGTGATTTTACTTTTATTCTATCTTTTTAAATTACCTTACAGTGAGAATATATACCTTTGGTCCTTCTTAAATTTTTACATTATTTATTCATTTTTGTTTACTTTCTTGCTTTATTACAATGCATTTTAGGAGTAAAATTTACATGTGGTAAAATGCACAAAACTTAAGTGAATTTTGAGAAATGTCTATGACATGTAGCTATTCCAACGATAAAGATATAGACCTTTTTTTTTCCCCTAGAAGGTTGCTTCGTGTTCCATTCCAGTCAACCTTCAGACCCCACGAGCAATCATAGTTCTCAATTATATCACCCTTCGGTTTTTACCAGTTTCTGATAGTTCTTATTAATAGAATAATGCTTTATTCTTTTCTGTTTTCTTTCATCTAACACAGTGTTTGTGAAAGCTAGCCATGTTGATGTCCATCTCATAGCTCATCTTTTCAATTGCTGAGTAGTAATTCCACTGTATGAATATACCACAAATTTTTATTTCTCCTCTTGGTGGACATTTGCGTTTTTTCAAGTTTGAGACTATTATTTTTTTAAGTTGCTGTTCCCATTATTCTACAAATCAGTTTGTGAATATATGTTTTCATTTCTCTGGGGTAAAAAAATAAAACCCTCAGAATGGAATTACTGTGTCATAAGATAAGAGAGTATCTAAGTTTATAAGAAACTGCCCAACAGTTTTTCAAAGTGGTTATACCATTCTACTATCCTCTCAGCAATATATAAGAGCTATATATCATTTGCAATATTTGGGTTTGGAACAGTATCTCCTTAGGCTTTTAATTTACATTTCTCAAATAACAACTGTTGAACACCTTTTCATATACTTGGTCATTTGTATGTCTTCTTTCGACGACCATCTCTTAAAATCACTGTGTTATTTGTCCTTTTATTATTGCTGGATATCATTCTTTATGTATTCTGTATCCAATTCCTTCATCAGATAGGTGTAGTGCATCTATTTTTTGCTAGTCTGAAGCTTGTCATTTTATTTTGTTAATGGTGCATTTTAATAAGCAAGAGGTTTTTTTTTTGATGGAGTCTAATATATTACTTTTTTAAAATATTTAGTGCTTTTTGTAACCTTGCTAAGATACCTTTGCCTACTCCCAAAGGAGGGAAGATATTTTCCCATGTTTTCTTTTAAATGTTCTACAGTTTTAGCCTTTATATTTACGTCTACATCAAACATATAATTAATCCTATATAATTATGTAGAACTAGGGTTTATATTTTCTATACATTTGCTCAGTTGTTTCAAAGAAATTTGCTGAAAATGATGTGCTATCATCCCATTGAATTTACTGGGTGCCTGCATTTAAAATTTATTAACATTGTATGTGAGTCTATTTCTGAATTCTTTCTATTGACCAATTTATTTATCCTTATGCCAGTACTAAATTGATCTGACTATCATAGCTCTAAACTAAGTTTGAAGTCAGGTTTCTGACTCTTCCATATTTATTCTACTTTTTCCAATGTTGCTTTGGCTATAATGGGTTCCTTGTATTTCCACATAAATTTTAGAATCAGCTTGTCAACTTCTTAAAAAAATCCACTGAGACTTTGAGTAATATATGGGCCATTTTGGAGAAATTTTCATTTTAACAATATTGAATTAGCTAGTCTGTGAACATAGCTCTCTATTTGTTTAGATTTCTTTTAAAACCTCTCAACAATGTTTCATAATTTCCAGTGCAAAGGCCTTGAACATATTTTATTAATTTTATTTTTAAGTATTTTGTGTATTTATTTCTATCAAATTGAACTATCATTTTTAAATTTTATTTTCCAATTGCTTGATGGTAGCTTATAGACATATAAACTGACTTTTGTATAATGGCCTTGATAATTCACTTTATTTATTTCTGTAGTTGTATTGAATATTCTTTATCATTTTTCACGTGAATAAACATGCTTTCTGCAAATACTGGAAGTACTTTTTTCTTCTTTCCAATCTGGATACATTTTATTTTTTTCTCTTGTTTTACATATTGGCTAAAACCTCCTGTACGTCACTGAATAGAAATGGTGAAAGTGGATATTCCTGTCATCTCCTGGTCTTAGGGAAACAATTTATGTTCACAATTTCAACATTAAATATGATAGTAATTGTAGGCTTTTTGCAAATGCTCTTTATCAGATCGAAGAAATATCTATTTCTTGTCTGTTGTGAGTTTTTAACATGAATAAATACATTCACGTTATTAAACAATGCTTTGAATACATCAGTTGACTATAACCAGGTTATTCATGTCTTCTAGTCTGCTAATGTGGCAAATTATATTGATTGATTTTTGAATGTTTAACCTGCTTTGATTTCCTAAGATATGCCCTACTTTGTAAATATGAATTACAATGAGTGTGTTGACATTTTCTTGTGAAACTTTGCTGATGCGTTTTTAAGGGATATTTATCTATCAACTTCTTTTCTGTAATATTTTTGCCAGGTTTTGGTACCAGGATTAAGCTAGCTTCAAAAAATAGGTTGAGAGGGGTCATTCCTCCTCTAGTTTCTAAAAGAATTTGTTTAGATTGGCACTATTTCTTTTCTTATACATTTGCTAGAATTTACCAGAATGTAACCATCAGGAATGGAGTTTTCTTTGTGGGAAAGTTTACTGATAGTAAGTTTAATTTCTTTGAAAGAAATATAACTGTTGAAATAATCAATTTCTATGTCAGATTTACTAATTTCTGTTTACAAAAACATTTTCATTACATCTAAGTTACTACATACATTAAAATAACATTTAAACTTTCCTTATTGCATTCTTGACATCTGTGTGATCTACAGTGTTATCTCCTCTTACATTCCAGATATTGGTAATTTATATCTTTGTTTTCTTAACCAGTCTTGTTAGGGTTTATCAGCCAAAATTACCTAATGAAAATCTCTTATGTTACCCATCAAATATATATGATGTTATATATAGATAACCCTTTATACTATGTTGTCAGTTTCTTTAACTCTTTTTTTATGCGATTTTTTTACAACTCTTATTTCTCACGTACATTCCCATGGAACATAAAAAAAAAAATTACTTCTTTACCTAAACAAAGTATTTGTTTTTCAATGATCAATTATTTAAAAATACAGGAATTTTTTCATGATTTTTATAAGCATGTTTTGACTATTTCAGGTTCAACTGCTTCTAATTCTGAGTAAACCATCACTAAGTATAATGGCAGCAGAAAGCCACATGATTTCAATTCATTATCTCTCATTCCTGAACATGACTCCACTCACCCACCAACATACCTATGAACAGAGTTAAAGTCAAACATATAGCAATGTGCATATGATACTATTCCATCGTATACAGGAACTCCCACCTGAATCAAGACATATCTCCTTTTCGTTCCTACAGTGGGGCCCTCGTGGAGGTAAGGTGCCTGAATTTCAGGAAACTACAAGAGATATATCTCATCAAAACAAAGAAATTCCTATTGATTGGAAATAGCAAGATATGTGTGAAGGCTGGAGAAAAGAGTCTAAACTGCAAAAACATAAATCTAGCCACTATAGGTAAGAAGTTGTACAGGTAAGAAGAAGGGGTATGCTTGTCATTTTTTGGATACCTGAAAACACTGTGTCTGGAAATTCTGTAGGTTAAAAGTAGACAAATCATGGAAACAATTGGTAATTGATAATAGCTAATTCTCTATTGCAAATTTTTTAATAAATGAAAAATTTGAAATTTTTGCTTTCCTGCCATGAAAGAATTCTGAGGCTCTTCAAATCCAGCTGTGAAAGAGAGTGTGCAAATCTACATGAAGTGTCTAACTGGAGCTGGGTTTCCTATCATCCATCCACAGGTGTCCTTTCTTTCCTCACCTGTCCTCCTGAATTATTTGTGGTCTTCTCCCCAAATTCCTACAACATTCTGAGTTAGTTTAGCTAACTTATCAAGTTACTTTAAAAAGCATATATATCTTCTCTATTAGTCGAGTTTTCTAGAAAAAAAGGGAACCAGTAGGAGGCCAGATAGATAGAGATGATTGACAGGAGAGATTTCTATTAAGAAATTGATTTCTGTGTTTGTGGGGACTGGCAATTGCAAAAATCCGTAAGGCAAGCCAGTAGGCTAGAAATTCAGGGACGAGTGCAATGTTGAGTCTAAATTCCGCATGCCAGGAAACTCAAGCAGATTTTCTCTTATTGTGCTTTTGAGATAGATTTGCTGCTTCTTCAGGGAACCTCAGTCTTTGCTCTAGAGGCCTTCTTCTGATGGGGTGATGCCCACCACGTCATGGAAGACAATCTGCTTTACTCAAAGTCTATCGATTTGAATGTTAACTGTGCCTAAAAAAATACCTTTAGAGCCGGGCACAGTGGCGCAAGCCTGTAATCCCAGCGCTTTGGGAGGCCGAGGAGAGTGGATCACGAGGTCAAGAGATCGAGACCACCCTGGTCAACATGGTGAAACCCCGTCTCTACTAAAAATACAAAACATTAGCTGGGCATGGTGGCTCGTGCCTGTAATCCCAGCTACTCAGGAGGTTGAGGCAGGAGAATTGCCTGAGCCCAGGAGGCGGAGGTTGTGGTGAGCCGAGGTCGCGCCATTGCACTCCAGCCTGGGTAACAAGAGTGAAACTCCGTCTCAAAAAAAAAAAAAAAAAATACCTTTAGTATTCCCTGTTCACACCCCCTTCAGCCCTCAAAAAGAAAATTAAAGGTAAGAGAGCAATACTCATTAGAGACAAGAAAGAATAAGAACCTCGCCCAGCTTTCTCTCAGCTTTGTTTCACTAAGATGGTAAAATAGAGAGTTAAAGCAGAAGTTCCATGTGTGAACAATTAACTTGTGAAAAAGCAAATGTAGTAGAAAAGAGACATTAGGCAGGTGACTGTGCATGTTGGCCACACAGCAGCAGCATTGGGCATGACCAGTGTGGGCACTGGTTACGGGCAGAGGACGGGGTATCTCCGAGGTTATGAAAGAGTTGTGTTTTGATCATTTGGAGATGAGGCCTCTATGGATGGGGCACCATATCTAAAGGCTCACCACTTACATTGCAAATTTACATTCACTTCTCCAAGAGTGAGCAGCAAAGGCAGAGATTCTCAGCCTTCGGACAAGGTCGTGGAGCATCAGAGCAGAGCCCATTCTCACAAAAACCCACACCAGCCTGCAAGCCCTTGGATGCACATGAACACTCACAATACACCCAGAGTCTCCAGGTGACACCAGAGTCTCCAAATCCCCATATCCCATATACCCAATGCTCTTACAGTTTCCATCCCCCAGCAGACCACAAATCAGGCATGCCTTTTGAATGGCAAGAGGGAGGGGTACGGTACACACACTGCTGGCAGCACAGGCCCTGTGGAAGAGTGGTGTGAGAAAAGCACTGGACAAGCAGGATGAGAGGCAAAGGCATGTCTCACACCGGCATCTCCTCTTACGTCCTAATGGGACACTTCATTACTACCATGTAAGTGAGTTTAAACTGATGCTTCTGATTGAGCCCCAGAGCCAGAGCTCCCCACCCACCATCTGCACACTCACTTCTCCTCGTTTAGGCATCTCTTGACCCAATAAAGCTGAAGGGGGAAGCTTCCTGCCTTTCCACTTCTCCTGGCAGAGTAGATTGATATGATTGTTCAGATTCTACAAGAACGTATTACCTCTAAAATATTGCTTGACAAATGAGCCACCTTTTCTAATTTGCTCAAAGACATGACTTGGGCTTGAGGCAGAACTGTCCAGAGAGCACCAGGACAAGCCGCTGTGATGTGCAACAAGAGAGAAACAAAAGCTAAATGAAGAAGAGTGAGCCTCAGAATCAGAAAATTGGATTTAAATTCCTTTAAACCGTTTTACAGGGGCCCAAACCTAATTAACTTCTCTGAGATTCAGTTTCCTTATCAATATGGTGGTGACAAGTGAAGACAGCATAAGCAAAGCACACAGTACTTAGGAGATGTGTTCTTCCTTTAATTCCTTTTTTATTAAAAGATGGGCACGGGGCAGGGGTTTCAGCTCAGAAGGCCTTGTTGAGAACAGAATGAAGGGCAGGAACTGGAGAGAGGGTGAAAACGTTGCCAGCATTATCTGTGGGGCAGTTCTCCACCCTCTACCTTTCCTCCTGCTTCCCTCTAGGTCTCAGGCATCTTCCCTTTTGATAGACTTCCCCTTTTACAAGACATCCAACTGTGAAAAATGAGTCATTACTCTCTTTTCAGTACCTCTAAGGCAAAGCAGGGCAACAGGCAGTCACCACTATGAACAAGTGACTACAACAAGAGCTAGGCCAAACTCTGCCACGAGGTTTTCACTTTATTGGGCCAGTAATGCTACAGTCCAGCTCAGACTCTACTGAGTGAAAGTTTGATGAACCCATATCCTCTTATGAACAACTGGGCCTTAGATCAGTCATGCAAAAAGTAGCACACCCCTCCCCAGACAACTAACTTCCCAGGCTGTGATCAGTGAACAGCCAATAGGGCAGGTCAGGGAAGTCTCAGGACCTTTCTAGGAAATCAGTACCTTTCTCTGGGTTTGTTCTGCCTGAAATAATACCTGTCTCCCTCCGACAGCTTAGCATATGTGGAGCATTTGATCCTAACAGCAACTCTGCAAGGCAGGAAGGCAGTAGAAAGAAGCCCAAGAGGAATTCAGTGTTAAGGCAGAGAGACTGACAAAGGGGGGCCCCCTGAGGCCCCTCTGGAAGGTCCTGGCCAGGGCCAGGGTGCAGACCCTTCACGTCACTATAGCTGAGATGAGGTGCAAGGTTCACAGCATATAACCTAATTTCATTACAAGAATGAAGACTCGAAGTTTAAATACTACTGCTATGGGGCTCATTAGTAACAAGTTCTCCAATATTCAAAAGGCAAAGAGGATGTGTTTCAGTGTAAAATTAACACTAGCTGCTGTAATAAATAAGCCCCCAAACATATGACATCTCAAACACCGTAAGTGTATTTCTCACTCACAATCAGAGTCAGAGTGGATGTTTCTAACCTGCAGGTGGGGCTCCTCCAAGCAGTATTCCGGGCACTTTCCATCCTAGGGCTCCACCGTCTTTAACGCAGGACTCCAAGTGGTGGAAGAGGACGGAGCAGGGGAGTCACACGTGGGTGTGTGTCTGGGCCGGGGTGAGAGTGGGTTTGCATTTCCTCTACTCACCTCACTCACAAGGCCACATCCAACTGTAAGGGAGACTGGGGAATGTGGGCTGGATTTGAATCCAAGAAGATGAAATGGTTTTCTGAATAGTTGGCTATTTACTGACACAAAAAGATCAGAGTGATTTGCAGAGGAGACGAATTTTAAATACTATAATTATTTCCTTGGCCACATTTTAGACAGAATTTATTTCTTTTTCTTTTCCAGTTAAACCTGAGGCTCCTTTTGACCTAAGTGTCAACTATCGTGAAGGAGCCAATGACTTTCTGGTGACATTCAATACATCACACTTGCAAAAGAAGTATGTAAAAGTTTTAATGCATGATGTAGCTTACCGCCATGAAAAAGATGAGAACAACTGGATGGTATGTAGCTCAACTACATTAATAAAATAAAAACGTATGAATGTTTTATATTTTGCTGTTCTAGTAGTGCATTTCCCCTGGGAGGGCCTAACAATTTTGCTTTCAAAACGTACCTTCTACTGAAAGAAGCTCCCAATACTAGCCCCACAAAAACCTGGATTTTCCCTGGTGCATACTCTTCTAGCTCTAGTTATTTTTTCTTGCTCTAATTTTACTCTTCAGAATGTTTCTACATCAGTGAGTTGGGTAACAACATAGATTGAGACCAACTTGATCCTCCATATTCAGGGGCCTCAAAAACTGCCGTGTCTAGTACCCCTTTCATAGGCAAATCAGGCAAAATGTATATCTGGGTATAACCACCAAGTCACAGGCACATTCTGGCTTTGGGATTCGTGGGACCAGCATGAGATAAGGAACAGAGACATAATGTTTGTCTTTGTTGTTTTTATTTTAAAGCCAAAGGTCGTTGTTTTTGAAGTAACAGCTTAATTTTCATAATTAAGTTACTTAGATGCTCTCTTCATGATTTGTTGAGGTTGGAATGATCCGGCAGTACCTAAAAGTTATTTTGGAAAGGAGGTAGCAGAAGATTGGAGTGTACCAGGTTATGAGATTTCTTTTAACCCACTAGCTTAACTTCTTTCTGCACCTCAGGGATGAAGAGAAGATGATGATTTCTCTTTCTTAAGGCCTTCTTATTCTTGCTGTCCCCATTTTTTAGATCAAGATTGGCCTTGATTGTTTGCTGTGAAATGCAAGATGCTACTTGCATACATGCAACGCCTGACCCAAACCACCTGCTCCCTCCTTCCACTCAGCCACCCTGCCCTGGATGCACACACCAACTGGACTACCTTGATCCTGCCCTCTTCCATTATTCCATTGGTGAAAATTGCCCCAGTGGAAAAGCAACTTAGTGGAGAAAGGAGGGATTACGAATAAATGGTGACAGGACAATTAGTTAAATTTAAAAAAAAAATTTTTTTGAGACAGTCTTGCTGGGGCTGGAGTCCAATGGTGCAATCTCTGCTCACTGCAACCTCCACCTCCTGGGTTCAAGCAATTCTCCTGTCTCAGCTCCCCCAGTAGCTGGGATTACAGGCAACTGCCATCATGCCCAGCCAATCTTTGTATTTTTGTAGAGAAGATAGTGTTTCACCATGTTGGCTAGGATGGTCTTGAACTCCTGACCTCAGGTGATTCACCCGCCTCGGCCTCCCAAAGTGCGGGGATTACAGGCGTGAGCCACCATGCCCAGCCAAAAATTTTTTAAATAAAAAACAAAAATTAAGGTAAATACCTACCTGCCTTCATAACAACAACAAAACAACGTTTAAGGAAATTATATAACAGTGAAACTCTAAACAAACTAGAAAAATATAGGCAAATGTTTAGATAATCTTAACATGAAGAAGAACTTTCTAAGCATCAAATCTGTAGAAGAAAGGAAAGGATTGAGACATGTGACTACATGAAAAGTAGAGACTTAGGTATGTCAAATCACACAATAATCAAAAATGCAAATTTAACAGTAGGATTAAATGCCACATATACAGCTGATTAGTATAATTAATATATAAAGAGGTCTTATAAATCATTAAAAAACAAATATGACAATAGAAAAATGAGCAAAAAATTGGGAAAATCTCATAAAATATGGAATATATAAATTCAATAAATACATGAAAATGAACTAATTATCAAATAAATAGATATATAAATAGCAATAGACTACTTTTTATCTATCAAATGAGTAGAGCATGTTTTTGATTTTATCTTAAAGATGATACACTGTGTGGGGGAGACTTTTATCTCTATATTACTATTGGCAATGTAAAATGGCATCTTTCTGGAGAGAATTGATTCCTGCTCACTAACCTAACCTAACCTTTCATCTTCCCTTGATATGTAACAGGAGAGAGAGAAAAGTGGAAGATATTGAAGTGTGGAAAGGGAGAGCCTGGGCAGTGCCTAACTCACCTGAATAAGACCCATCATTTCCCTCTCCTTCTTGACCACTCACAGCATCCTTTATAAGCTCAGATTCAGTCTCCAATTTTGCTGTTGACTCTTTCACATATCAGAGCTCCTTATTCTAACAAATATGAGACAACCTTAGGAAAATGTTTATGGGACTAAAGGAATTCTACCTGAAATGATTTGGGAGATTTAGGCGACACCTCTTTTCCCGTCCTAAGAACGTAACTGCACTCTTTACTCTCTAGCACGTGAATTTGTCCGGCACAAAGCTGACACTCTTGCAGAGAATGCTCCAACCAAAAACAACGTATGAGATTAAAGTTCGATCCATCCCTCATGATTATTTTAAAGGCTTCTGGAGTGAATGGAGTCCAAGTTATTACTTCAGAACGCCAGAGATCAATAATCACTCAGGTAAAGAATGGTGGTAGAGTTTTTGTTCCCCCAGAGTGCTTTGCTGGTCAAAGTGAGGGAGCAAGTGAGAGAAAGACCATTGAAACTAACCAGCAAAATAGGACCCCCCTGGAGTGCATTTTTACACTTTGGAGAATGACTTGCCTGCTCTCCTTGCCCCTTTTGTGAAGAACAAGGAAGCTGAGGGAGTGGGGTCCCTACTTAGCTGAGAACTAGTGCAGGTGGTCTGTGTTCCTGGAAGCCGCCATAAATTTTGAGCAAGATCCCCAACCACTACCTCCAGTTAACCGATTTATCCTGGGACCCCAATGGCTGGTGACTCTAAGGCCTATCCAAGAAGCACATTTATTGGTGTCAGGTGTGCAGGCAGGTGTGGCTGTCCCGTATTTCCTTTTCCAGAAGGATGAAGATATCCTTGGAACTGGAACTGAGAATATTTAGGAACTGAGACATTCCCTCCCTAGAGTTTGCAGCGGGGTGAACATCTCTCTCATTATCCCCTGCTCAGGCTTCTTTCCCTTGGTGGATAGTCAAGAAGGGAAGGGAGCATTGGTACCTTTGATGTCAGACCATGTTTACATTTCAAGTGGCAGATGTTCTGGGCCTGGTCACTCGAGTCAGTGCCTTTTAAGCCAAAATCCTTCCATAAAGCTGTCACATCTCTCTGTTAACTGAAAAGCAACTTTCAAGAAGTAATAACTGGGCCCACATTACTAAATAAATGTGAAGCATCCTGAGACCCTACCCCACTGCGTGGCTACTGAATGCTTACTACAATCTATTCTTGCTTTCCAGGGGAGACGAATCCTATCTTACTAACCATCAGCATTTTGAGTGTTTTCTCTGTGGTTGTGTTGGTCATCTTGGCCTATGCGTTATGGAAAAAAAGGTGATTTTCTTCAACTAATAAAGAGGGTGATTGTGTGGGATCACAGACAGTTAGAGCTTGATCCCCACTTATTGATTAGAAAACTGCAAAGGGGAATAAGGCATTTCACAAATTTAGTGCCCAGTATCCCTATCTATCCTCAGTGAATTCCTACAGTGAATTTCCTAAGAGGCAAAAATATATAAATTGGACATTGGGCAAACCCTGTATCCCTGTCACCAAAGTAAGAACTCTGTAATGCAATGTTTCACAAGCTTTTCTTCCAGCATCCCCTAAAGGTTGCAGAAGCCATCATTCATGGCAAATGCACAATGTACTTGAAGTTTTGACTTTCAGTATATAAATTCACAGAATATTGTATTCTAATCCATGCTAAGGCTATGTTTGTTTCATCATAAAAATGATGTGTTAAACATGCAGTTGTTAAGTCACTTAATATTCTAGGAAGATGCCCTTGGCAGAAGGCTACATACCCCCAAGATTATAAATACCCTAATTTGAAAAGCACTGCCTTGAAAGTACTAAGCAATTTCCCTGGGTAATTTGAAAATATTCCCCCACTTCTGCCAAAATTAGGTGACAGAATTGCTGCCAATAAAGAGAAGGAATATAAAGGCAACACTTAAATTGGAAGTAAACAATGGGATGAAATTGTACTTCCATAGCTCCACCAAAACTACTTCCTTGCAAGCCTTGGTGTTCCTTCCCTCCAGGGATTTTTCCCAGAGGTATATTACTGTCATGTCTGGTTCACAGAATGGATTGATAGCACTGGTCTCTGGTTGAATTGATAGGGCCCTGAGGCCCAGAGAAAGCAAGTTCCTTGAGCATGGTCACCCACTAATTGTGATAGAGCCAAGACTGGAAATCTGTTCTTCTGATTCCAGGCTCAGAATAAGTGGGAAGACTCAGTGTGCCTGTGCCCTCTGCCATTCACCTCCTCTATCAATGTCCTCTGATTTCAGGATTAAGCCTATTATATGGCCTAGTCTCCCAGATCATAAGAAGACTCTGGAACATCTGTGTAAGAAACCAACAAAGGTGAGTGTTTTGGTGCTTAAAAAATATTGTGTTGGCAACATCCCGGTGGCCAAGAATGACATTCCAGGACAAGGAACAGTTGATGCCCCAAATACCTCAGTTTCTGGTATTTGTTGCATCCTGTAACTAGGGTCCCTCCTAAAACCCTAGCTGCAGTAGAGAACTGAAACAACATACACATCTCAGAACTTCTGGGCTCCCTGGAGCTGGAGAGCAAAGCCACTGGTCACGTCAAGTCTTGAAGTGTCTCAGAAGCAAAGAGTCCATTGAGGAACATGTGGGCAATTCTGTGACGTTCCCTGTCAGAAAACTCGTCAGACCTTTTCCTGAACTGAACCTTTGGTGGTGTGTCTCTCTGGTGCCGTTTTAATGCCTTCTCTCCTTTTTCTGTGCAGAATTTAATAGTGAGTTTCAATCCTGAAAGTTTCCTGGACTGCCAGATTCATAGGGTGGATGACATTCAAGCTAGAGATGAAGTGGAAGGCTTTCTGCAAGATACAGTTCCTCCACAACTAGAGGAATCTGAGATGCAGAGGCCTGCAGGGGACGTGCAGAGCCCCAGCTGGCCATCTGAGAATGTAGCCACCACCCCAGAAACTTTTGGAAGAGATCCACCCCTCAGATGCCTGGCTGGGAATGTCAGTGCATGTGATGCCCCTATACTCTCCTCTTCCAGGCCCCTAGAGTGCAGAGAGAGTGGCACGAATGGGCCACATGTGAACCAGGACCTCCTCCTTAGCCTCGGAACTGCAAATAGCACCCTGCCGCCTTCATTTCCTCTCCAATCCAGAATCCTGACATTGAACCCAGTTGCTCAGGGGCAGCCCATCCTTACTTTCCTGGGATCAAATAAAGAAGAAGCATACGTCACCATGTCCAGCTTCTACCAAAACCGGTGAAGTATAAGAAACCCAGACTGAACTCACCGTGAGCCACAAAGATGATTTAGAAGGGAAGTCTAGAGTTCCCAGTCTCCCTCACAGCACGAAGAAGACAAAATTAGCAAAACCCCACTACACAGTCTTGCAGGATTCTGAAACATTGCTTTGACCACGTTTCCTGAGTTCAGTGGTCATGAGGCAAGAGCACCCTGCTTCTACGATGTGGATTTGGTCACAGGTTTTTTAGGGTTTGTTTTTGTTTTTGTTTTTTTGAGATGGAATCTTGCTTTTTCACCCAGGCTGGAGTGCAGTGTCGCTTGGCTCACTGCAACCTCCACCTCCTGGGTTCAAGCCATTCTCCTGCCTCATCCTCCCCAGTAGCTGGAATTACAGCCATGCACCACCACACCTGGCTAATTTTTGTACTTTTAGTAAAGACGGAGTTTCACCATATTGGCCAGGCTGGTCTCAAACTCCTTACATCAGAATCCACCCACTTCAGCCTCCCAAAGTGCTGGGATTACAGGCGTGAGCCACTGCACCTGGCCTGGTCACAAGGTTTAAGTTGACCTAATGATTCAGCTATTTTTTTTAAGAAACAGGAAAGTATGAAAGAGTAAAGGAAAGGATTTAGGAGTGAGGAAGGCAGGAAGAGAGCAAGAGGGGAAAGAAAGGAAGAAGAATAAAAATGATAGTTGCCTTTATTAGGATTTAGCATATATCCAATGCTGCACACCTTGCCTCACTCTATCCTCACAATAATCATGGGAGCTGTGTGCAATTACTATAACTGCTCTCTTTTTTATAGATCATTAGATTCAAGAACTAAGGAGTTAAGTAACTTGTCCAAGTTGTTCACACAGTGAAGGGTGAGGCCAAGATATGATGGCTTGGAGTCTAATTGCATTTCCCTGAGCCATGTGCCTTTCTCTTCACTGAGGACTTCCCCATTCTTGAGTGCCAAACCTCACTAGTAACAGGATGTGACTAGATAATTTATGATCCAAACTGGGTCATTTTGGAAAGCGAAAGGGGAACTTATATATAATCCCTCCAGGACAATGAGAAGAAACTAGGACTGCCCCAGACAAATGGGGACATACCTATGGTCACTTAAATTAAAATGGCTATGAGAAAGAAAGTGGGGGAAATTGGTCTTGTGGGTGTGAAGTCCCATGACCAGCCATGTCAAGAGAAGGGAAAGAAGGCAAGAAAAGCCATGAAGCCCATTTGATTTCATTTTTCTGAAAATAAGCTCAAGAGGGAATAAATTAGAAACTCACAACTCACAACTTCTCTTGTTTGTTACCAAGACTGTGATTCTCCTGCTGCTATCAACCAACTGCATCCATCCATGATCTCAGAGGAACCTGTCGCTGACCCTGGACATGGGTATGTTTGATGAGTGAGAGGAGGCATAACTCCTCCCATGTGTATAGACACTACCCAGACCTAAATTCATCTGCAAATTGTCCTGAGTTCTCCAGCAATAGATACTGCTACAAACTTCAGGGAGAAAGAGTTTCAAGTACATGCAATGAGTGAACTGACTATGGCTACATTCTTAAGATGTACAGAAGAGACGTATTATGAATGTTTGACATTTATCATCTTGCCTTTCTTGATCTAGATTAATTTCTAATGACTAGCTCAAAGTCAAGGCAATTGAGTAATGCTAGCTCAGGGAAGTGCAGCAAACCCCTCTCCCGCAGGCCTCCAGACCCTGGCTGTTCACAGAACCACAAAAAGCAAAACCTGCACAGAAAACTAAAGTAGGGGCCATAGGTTCAGGGTTTTGTTTGAGATTTGTTGTTATTGATTTTCTGTTTTGAATTTTTTTCTTTGTTTGGTTTTTACTTTATTTAGTGGGATTAGGTATTTCAGTTTTCTTGTTTGTTTTGTGTTGTCTGTGAATGGGTTTTAACTGTGGATGAATAGACCTTACCTGTTGGCTTAACAGACTGGTAAAATCAGACCATCTTGTTCTTCAGATGAGTGTTTTCCTTTTCAAAGTGCTCTCCTCTGCATCAGCAGTCATAAATACAACACCGTAATCCCTTATGTTTACTTAGTGCTTTGGCAGTTTTCAAAGCACTTCCATAAGCATTCTTTCCACCTACTTGATAGGCATTTATGGAAAGCCTGCTATGAGCCAATCATAGTGTTAGGCGCAGGGGATCTAAAGACAAATAAGGATGACACCCTGCCTCATAAAGTGCAAAATCTGACTAAAGTGACAGCTTAGTAAACAAATTTTTTTATACTACAAAATGCTACAAAAGAGGCATGTTGAAAGTGCCCTGTTGGCGACAGGGCAAATGCCACAAAAATCATGTAAATTTGCATGGAGGAAAGGTAGAATCTGCCTGGTTTGTAGGAAGCAGAAAACGTTTTTCATCAGGTGGGCAAGTGCTCTTTACCTTTTGTAGAAGTGAGAGTCAAGTCTCAAATAGGAGGTTCCACAAAATCTCATGCCCAGCCTAGGTCTCTGATACCTTATTCACAGAGGTTCTTTGAAGTATTTATTGTTTTCTTTGACTTATGGAAAAATTGGGACGCAAGAAGACAGGTAAATGACCCAACCTCACACATTAAGTCAGAACTGGGAGCTGTAATGTTGTATCCCTGGTATAAATAGACAATCTCTCGAGGAAATGAAGAGATGAACTGCAGAGAAACATCGAGGTATCTCCAGCTCTAAACTCCTCTGTCTCAGTATTGTTTGGCAGATGTTATTATTGGAATTTAGTGTCTGAGCATCTGTCTGTTACTGGAGTATTTAAAATGCATGTATTATAATCATATAATCATAACTGCTGTTAATTCTTGATTACATACCTAGGGACAATGTGTAATGTAAGATTACTAATTGGTTCTGCCCAATATACTTTCAGATTTTATTAAGGAAAAAAAAACCTACTGATCAGAGGCAATGTATTAATCAGAAATGTAAACTGCTAATTCTATGTAGCATGAAATGAAAAGGCAACTAAATTGGTCCAACAACCATGTCTAGGGCACCCTGGCTTATGCGGTTAATTTCCTACCAACCTTTGCCTCTTCCTTCAATGCTGTTTCCATGGGAATTTCCTTTAGAAAAGCCAAGTGTGGGCTGTTTCAGAGGTGCATACTGTATTTTCTTAGCTCTTCTAGAGGGGCTATAAGACTTGGAAGGGGCCAGGAAGAATATATGGTAGAGCTCTGAGAAATGATGCAGTTTAGGTGGCATTTTTGCCTGGTCCATGATTTATTGTTGGGATTATTCTTTAAAATATCCATTGTTCACTACAGTGAAGATCTCTGATTTGACTGTGTACTTTCCACATGCATTACAAACATTTTACAGAGCTGCTTAGTATATATGTATACAATGTATATAGCCATATCATATTTAATTAAATGCTATGGAACTCTTTGTGGCTGTGCCTGTCTTCTCTGGAATCTGTGAATAGAGGTATACCCAGAAAGGACCACATGTCTCTTCAGCCTCTGAAAACATTATGATGTCACCTGCTGTCACTTTATGGGTTTGGACTTTCAGAGGAATCTCTTTTAATCAGTTAAGTAGTTAATCAATTAATAAATCAATTAACAATTTGTTGAGGATCTGCTCTGTGCAGCTTTGCATTGTGCTGGTCACTAGGGTTACAGAGGTAAAATGGGACACTTCCAGCTCACAATTGCATGAAGGCAAAGACACCTAGGAATAGGCACGATGTCATACCGTTGCTTTAATGCAAAATATCCATCATAATTTTTAGTTATAAGCAAGAAACATCAGTTTTGGCTAACTAAGCAGAAAAGGACCTTATTACAGGTTATTAGGAGGGCTCACAGACTATCTAGGAGGATGGAGAACTGGTCTTGGAGGCCACAAAGCCACTTTGTATCTCTGCCACCGGCACCTCCAGAGACTGAAAATAGCTACCTCCATTGCTACCACCAGCCCAAAATAGTCTCAGAAGCAGCACCCAGTGGCTTCACATCCCTGGCTGTGGGCTTAAAGGCAGCGGAGACTGTGGTTGATGAAACCTAGTTCAGATGCCTGAGATCTAGCAATGGGTAGTGGAGAAGAGAATATCAGACATTTTCATCTTCCAGTAAGAGGCAAGAACCATAACATGGGGCATTCCCCAAATATAGGAAGAACATTCCACTTCTAAGTAAGGGGGAAAAAAAAAAGAAGAGCAAAAGGAGGAGAAGGACACACTACAGAATAAATAGCAAAAAAGGGCAACGTGAAGGAGGTCCCACTTGATATGGTAGCACAGGGTAAGTTAGGGCACAGTAGGTAACGGAGCCTGAAATGCAGGAAGGATGCTTTCTGGTAGAGAAAACACTTGTTCAAAGTCCTGATGTAAGTGCATGTGAAACATTTGCAAGGTTACCAATACAGTGGGGGATGCCTCCTTATCTGTCTCAACTGAGAACAGTAATGTGTTGGTGGTTACTCCAGAAAGTTGTACAAAGAGCGCTTTCGTAGAAAATAACATAGATGGGGCGCAGGGGCTCACACCTGTAATGCTAGCTTTGGGAGGCCAAGGCTGGTGGATCACCTGTGGTCAGGAGTTCAAGACCAGCCTGGCCAATATGAAGAAACCCTGTCTTTACCAAAAATACAGAAAAAATTCAACTGAGCATGGCAGCACATGCCTGTAATTCCACCTACTTGGGGAGGCTGAGGCAGGAGAATCACTTAAACCCAGGAGGCAGAGGTTGCAGTGAGCTGAGGTCATGGCACTGCACTCCAGCTTGGGCAACAGTGAGACTCCATCTCAAAAAAAA